TGCTGATGATAGAGTTGTTTATCATACACCTTATGCTGATGATAGAGTTGTTTATCATACACCTTATGCTGATGATACAGTTGTTTATCATTCATGCCAACACTGGTGGCCTGTCATCTGTAGTCTGCATTTTCAGTCCCCATTGTTTCATTTAAAGCTGTTACTAAACGCTGACAAAAGTATCCCTACAATTACATTTCCACAAGGAACCTTTTTTTGTTTCTTCCATTCTGATTCTCCAAACTGAAATTACGTTGACTTCTCTCTATTAAGGAAAGCTATAGACTCACTTGGCTCAACTGTGTAATAACCCTGCTTTGAAAATCCCAGTGCTGTCCCTTTTTAAAAACGTGACTAAAAACTGAATTTATTTTTCATGAAGTCCAGTTGGAGTCAAATTAAAATTGTTAAATGACTTTTAGTCTGAAATTTTGACTGTTATTGCCAAATTTAGAATTGTAATCATTATCTACAGTATGTTTACTGATGACTCAGATTTCTAATATATTTAAGATTGCTGAAGTTTGAGTTATTGCTTCACCCTCTAAGGATTGCCACTCATCAACAGGGCTTTGTTTTTTTTGGCGGGGTGTTTTATCAGAGTACAGACAATAACTAACCCCTTTACCATTTTTCGTAAACTTGGATCAACAAATTGTAAAGAAAACAGTCCATACGTAATTAAGACCTACAGTACAAACTGAATACAAACAGTTGTGATGTAATTTGTGCGTCAGCGGTCAGGGACTGTAGGATGTTGAATGGGTTTAGAATAAAGGCTGTAGGACAGTATGACATTTTAAAGGTTAAGGCTTGGTTAAGAGCATTGTGACATGAGGTTTGAGGGTTATGTTACCGCACTATTTTATAAATAAAGAGAAAAATGTCAAAGAGAGCTGCGTTTGTCAAGTTTACTGGAGGCTGCAGTTGTGCTCGGGGCTAACATGGCTTAAGTAGGCAGTTAACTAAATGCAGTTGGTACTCACAAGCAACAATGTACTTTTTCCCACACACACACATGCTCAGTATCACTCTCTTGCTCACAGACTCTCCCTGAATCTGGCCACAGCTGTTCAAATTGGTTCCAGAAGTAAAACTGAATGTTCTCAAAGCAAAATGAGAATATTTAACAGACGCTGTGCAGCTTTTTAACTTTATATGTGTGCATGTGTGTGAGTGAGAGAGAAATGGCTGCCCTTCAATTACAGTGAAATTATGTTAATGAAAAATAATGATGCCAGTATGATTGTACTAAGTGAACACAGTGGGTGGATCAAATTGAAAATGTTTAAAAGTCTTCCCACTAAATAATAAAAGCTGTCCAAATAAAACCTATATCATTCATGTGGCTTTGTGATGATCGCTGGAAACATTCAAGATGAAAACGGTGGAAATCATGACCCTTTGTGACACTTAATCTGGAGATGTAATGAAACAATGATTTCAATTGATTACCACTGGATAAAGAAGGCACTGTGAAAAGCCATCAAGTGTAACCTAACGCCACGGCCCTTCACCAAGCAGTGCCACTACAGCTTATGTTGCACCGGGCGGAAGACGTCATGGGAATTCTGTTTCAGGCCCTGCAATAAAACACCTTTTTTTTTATCTTTCTTCTCTGTGTGTCATTTTATCTGCTGTGTGGCTCCAGAGAGACATGCTGAAAACCGGGTCTTTCAGAGCAAGCAAAGGAGGAAAAAATGGGATGCAAAAATGAGATGAAGGAAAGGCTGGAGACAGAGAGAAAACAGACGAAACAATCGCTGCTCTCCCCAGAGGGAGGCAAGCAGAATAGAAAAACTGCAGGATTGTGTTTCCCCGGTTTTCTGAATGGAGTGGAGAAAGAAGAGCTAAGAGGCAAAATGACAAACTGGTCAGTTTCTGCAAGAGTGAGACTTTTCTTTTAACTTTGAGACATCTATTTTGACATAACTGTCGATTATTTTGAACATTCGTTTAAAAGTGTTTCAAGAAATACTGAGAAGCTCATGTGAGCAGGTAACTGGTAAATCGCAATAAAGTTAAAACTCACCGCTCCGTACAGAACGCCGTTCTTCTTGATTGCCAGGTAGTGATTGCTGATGAGGCCCCTGATGGCCACCACTCCCACATCCACTGATTTGATCTCAAAAATACCTGGAGCAGTAAACACAAAAAGAAAGATGTCAAACCAGTGCTTGAATCTGCTCATCGGATAATGTTGCTTTTGTATAAACTGTTTTTACTTTAAATCTTGATGATGCATAAGATTCTGTAGATGTTTTATTTTCCCCAACAGGTTTTATGTCTGTTTCTCTTTGTCACACTTAAGCTGTTTTAAGAAAAATATGAAAGAAAATTGCTGTCTTACCTGCCTGCAACAGGTAAGATAGTAACTGTTCAACTTCATTCCACAGAACCTCATTTTAAAAAATGTGATCTCACACATCAGAAAGTGATATTTAGCAAAATTGTGTAAATTTTGTGGGTGCTTTGTGTTGCATTTAAATAAACACATACATATGATCTCATAACATTGAATAATTTTTCATGCAAATAGTCCTCTTAATTCTGAACATTGGTGCCCTCACAACCAGAAGTATTTTTTTAAATAAAAAAAATAAAGCCTTTTATTAAATAAATCTACTTTTACACAAATGTGGCAGTAGAACAAGAAATTAGGAGGAATAACAAGCATAAATTTAAACCGGGGATGACACGGTGGTGCAGTGTTGCCTCACTACAAGAAGGTTGCAGCTTTACTTCCTAGCTTTTCTGTGTGCAGCTTGCATGCTTTCTCTGGAGACTCTAGACCAAACATGCATGCAAAAAAAGAAACCGTCCAGATGACCTGACTGAACATTGTTGGATTTTATACCTGGATTGTTGAGCATGCACATTGGTGACATGAAGGTTTGGTTCTTTGGTAACTCTAAATTGTCCAGGTGAGAGTGTAAATGGTCATTGGTTTTATTTTTATTCTTGTCCATGTGATGGACGTGTGTTAAACCCCTTGTCTGGTCTACCTGTCTTTTCTTCACTGTGTGACAGTCGAACCAAGACCTGCCTCTTGCCCTCTGTTTATTTGCTGGTTAACTTGTGGGCTGCCTGCTGTGTGACCGAGTTGCGAGCCAGGAAAAAAAAAAAAAACTTTTTTGCATTTAATGTTTGTTTTTCTGACCGCAGGAGCACAAGCAAGGCAGCAGGCATGTGGACGGGATGGAGAAGCCTTTCGGCTGCCAGACTGGCAGGGGGTCAAGGTGTCCGTATCAGTTTTCAAGGTGAACCAATTACTGGTTTACGTTGTGGTCACTGGCCCTTTTTTCTGTCAACTATAAGTTCGTACACCAAACCATAAAACTATCAGGGGCTAGAAAGGAAAAGTATGAGTCCATGAGGAAAGGGTTAACTCAAAAATATAGAAATCACAAAATGCAAAATGACAGAAATAGTAGAATATCTGTAATTATCACCCCTGTACTTCAAATCATACATTTGTAAAATGTCTCTGTATGCATTTCATCCAATGAATCGATTTCTCATTGCTTTGCAGCAGAACTGAGAGGCTGTTTATGCACTCGGAGACATTTAACTTGATGTTAAGCAGTGGCACTTTACTCTATGAGTGTGTGTTTGTTTATGTCATATTTAAATCGTTTTTGGCAACACTTCTTATTTTTTTTAATGCTGCATGTTGTTGAAGCTCTTTTCTGTCCCCTCGGTTTCCTCATTTGGTCAAAAATGGTTCTTCACCTCCTCAACTTAAAGCTTTTTCCCCCTGTCTCTCAGTGCATAATGATGTCGCACTGTAAGTCCATTACTCACTGCAGCACAACACAGATCTATCAGGTTCAAAATGTTCCATCGTGCCGCTCCACAGCTGACATTTCTGAGCTGTGATCCATACAAAATAAGATCTGTCTGTGCCCGTTAAAGGCCGGTCCACCTGTTCAAACATTTTCCCTCCTCCTGTTTGATGTTTGTCAAAACCCAAAAGCACAGGCAACCATTTACTTTTACCAGTTACCAGAAGCTGTTTGACAGTCTGGGAATAAAAAATAAAAAAATCCTGGCTGCAGCAAAAGGTGTAGATTGTGGCTGCACAGTTTATGGCGAGGAGGGGGGAATGATTAGGATCTTGTGTCGCAGGCTAACACAAAACTCAGTAGAATGCTGCCGTATAAGCCGCATCAGTCCAAATATGTCTAATAAAGTGGAAAAAAAAACATAAATATGTTGCTTTGCCTTATAAGTTGCATCTATTATGCGTCACTGCTGACAACCCGGAAATGTGGGCAGAGAATCAATTGGCTACCAAATGGCGACCGCGGGAGCGTGCACGGGAGGACTTTTAACAAGAATTTATCAAGATTAACACTTAAAAACAATTATTTGTTTGCTCAACATCATAACAAAGGTGTGTCTCTGTCTAACTTTTCCTTAATAAATGCACTTTAACGGTCAAATCAGTTGCAATTCAAACGCCGATTCGTGGAAGCGGGAGCGCTCAAAATTTAACAAAATAACTATCGAAAAACAATTATTTGTTTGCTCGAAATTATAGTAAGAACTTTTCTTTAATAAATGCTCTTGAATGGTCAAATCAGCTGCATTTCTCCTGGGCGGTGCGGCGAAGTGCAGCTGATTTGACGCTTGCTGTAGGAATTCCGGAGCGAGACGATGGTGGCTTTGTATGGAAAGCCAAGTGTCTCATTAATAGCCACTTTTACCTATTAATGAGACAGTTGGCTTGTCATATTAGTCCAGGGCCCTCTAGTGGCTGAAAATGGTAGTGTTCAATATTTTCCATATCAGAATGAATGAAATCGTCAATCTTAGCCAAAAATTGGGTTAAAAATATTGGGGAAATAAATACGTCGCTTCTCTGTTTAAGTCACAGGCATGCTAATGTATTTTTAAAAAATGCCTTATACAGCAAAAATTACAATACATTCTTCCAATGCAGTTGCTTGAGGTGCTAATCAAATTTTAATGTTTTCACCGCTTATTGTTTCAGTTTGGATTTTATGTTTTAGGTGATTCAACCCTCAAAGCACTTATAGCGTAGGATTTATTTAATTTGAAAAGGCCTGGTCATTTACAGCTGTCAACAAACTTCACATATATTAAAAGAGCAAACACCTGTGAGTATTAGGACGACAGTTTCACTTTTATAATGACAACTGAAATGGTCTTTGTCTGTTAAACTGGAACACTGACCAGACTCTAGGACTAAATACAACCTGACATCATAACAAGAACAAACGGTTTGTGTAACACTTTATAAACCAACAGTTTTTAAATGGATGGCTGTTCATTCTGTATTAGCTGCATATCTCAACAAGCATTTGCTTAGGAGCGGAAATAATTTTTCAACCGCCCAAATGTACCATACAATTCAAAATAATACAGTCAGAAAACATCTTTAGTTACGTCATATTGTTGGGTCAAGCTGTGACGGTTCATAAGCAATAAATACAAAAGACAATTTTAACTAAGTTAAATAAGATATTACCGCTGATTCTTGAAACTAGATAACATCATTGTTTTGTGAATATATAGTATTATATATTAAACAATGAAAGTAACTGGCCCTGCTTATTTTATGCTTTCTAGCCATCCAGGCTTTAGATAACTTTATTACACTGATGGGACATGTTGGGGGGCAGTGAAGGGTTCAGTGTCTTGCCCACGCACACTTCGACACGTGACAGCATACGGATGAAATCAAACTTTCGACTCTCACTAGATTCTCAATAGAATTACAAAAAAGTTGTTACATCATGATTTGTTTGTTTGTTCGTTTTTCCTCCTCGCTTCATCTTGTTCAGGGTTGCAGGTGGCTGAAGCCAGGTGTGGTTTAGAGACAATCACAGTGAGAAATAAGCCAAACATTTCAAAATCACTGATTAGTCCAACATGGGTGTCTTTTGACTGTGGGTGCCCCCCACAGTGTGAATCAAGTAAGTAATCCCCATCTGTTTCCATCAACTATTTTACCTGTTAATGCTATTTTTAGTATTTTTGGGCAGCAATGAAATTGAAGTGGATTATTCAAAGAACACTGATTCAAGAAGAGGCTGAATGCTAAGACAATGCAAGTCTCAATGCAAACTGTATAACAATGTTTTTAACGTATCCCAGTGTTGGAGTTGTCAAAAAAAAAAGAATAGTTGCTCACATCTTCAGCTTAAACCACAATAAACAGATGAAACGTTGAACCAAGTCTTCAGTCTGAACCTGTTTCTTTGTCGTTTATAATATGACAAAAAAAAAACAGACAAATGGACAAAAGAATGGTTAAAAAAAAAATCTATTGTGTGAATTCTCAGAATATTTGAAGCTGCAGGCTGTAAGAGAATGAAACCCATTGGAGAAAGTGTGAATAGGATTATGAAATATTACTGAAAACCAATGCATGTGCTGATAAAATACGCATCTGAATAAATAAAGAGTACCTGGACTAAGCAGTGAGATGGACTGTTCAGAGATCCATCAGCACAGTTCATGCACGTACCTTTTTATGAGGGCATTCAACCTTTTTTCCAGACATTAACTTGCTTATTTCAGCTTCATCATACCTAAACATTTGTTGCATTATTGGACAATAATCAGAACAAACGACAACCCCGGATGAAGACGAAGTTGGAAGAGGGATTCAATTGAGCTGATTATTAGCTTGTTAGCACACATAGTTTGATCTTTGTTAAAGCACAGGATAACCACGTTGTTCGTTGGGTGAAATCTAAATTGTAGCTGCATCATGGCCTCCAGTCATTAATGCAACTGTTTTAGGAAAATCACTACAGTCACGGCTACATATTCAGAGAAAATTTTAATCTCAAAGGTGCACACACAAGAACACACACATCGGCAGTACTCCCTCCGACCCCTGGACGGGACCCCTTTCAGGAACATGGTCCTTGAGACACCAGCTGAACCCAAAGGTTACCAGAGGTTGTGAAAATGTTTCCACTGTTTATTCAGGGGCTTTTTTGAAGATTATGCGGCGGCTGTTCGCTCTTTGGCCTCGACATGGCGACCAGCTGTGAGCAGGTCTAACGCCTGGAGAGGTCTCGTTCCGTGTTGTGCAATATTGTCACGTTTCAACCCGTTTGTGTCGTGCTGGCGAGGAAAAATGGAAATGGCGCCATTTG